GGCAAGGCAAGGCACATTGGATAAGTTTCTCCCTGGCTATCCTGTACTAGGCAGGTTGGTACCCAGATTTGTCTGGATGTTCTTTTAAGTAACCACTTTCATCTTTTTTAAAAAAAATCTTTATCTCAAAAAAAAAAAAAATCAGCATTTAAACAGCAACCTCACATTGAAGATATCTAAAACACAACTCCTAATCTCTCCTCTTCTACCTTCAAATAGTCTCTCTCTTACACCTCTGTTCCAGGCAGATTCTTCAGACAAAACACTTGCCCCCTGTATTTTCTGTGCTACTTCAGAGTGTAAGTCAGTGGCCAGTAAGAAAGGCCAGGTTCATGTTAGAATCCTCTCTTCAACTGCATGTTTTCTGTGGCACCTCTGAAATATTCCCCACATCTGTTTATTACTCTCAAACCCACTATCAGCACCACCCTCCCTGCCAGGGGATGCTCTCTATCTCTTTAGTGAAATGCTATGTTGGTTTCTAAGTGGTTTCCCAATTTCTCTATCATCTATGCTGCCCCCCGGAGTGTTCTCCAATCTGCTGGTGTCACTCCACTACTTAAAACCTATAGTGGCACCTCTTTCCCTAATTGTCACAGGGGCTCCACAGCTGCTGCTGCAGTGAGGGTATGACCAGTTTTGCTGTGGCCTACCTCAGTAAGGCTGGCTTGATGGCTGGCCTCAGTGCATGCAGCCTGCAGGTCAGGCCTGAGCTCCAGTGACTTTGGCCTGGGCTGTACCGCAGGATACTAGGCCAACCTGGCAGTGGTAGCCTGTGCTCTAGCTGCCTGGACATATGTCCCAGCTCTGCTATGGGGACCCCTTCAATGCCATGCCTGGCTACCCTGAGCCCACTGCTCACTTGAGCCTGCTTAATCTCATTGTAGGTTGCATCTGGACACAGCTGGGATTTCACTTTTTAATATGGTGCTGGATCATAAACAGACCAATCAGATTCAAACTCTCAAAGGACCCATCAAGTCTGAGTTTTCGCCAGTGCCATTCAAGGTTTTTGAGACCGCAGAGGATCGTACATAGACCAATCTGATTGGTGCTTAACTGGCACCAAACAGCTAATCAACCTTGAAAGATAGGAACCCTGACGACATATAGGTCAGAGAATAAGTGGCTTGATTCATTGAACAGACAGCTGCAGAACCATTTGTCAGAACTTTTGTAGAGAGATTCATTGGGACTCCTGGAAAGACCTTTGAAGAGACTGCCGCAGACTTTGAAACTTCATGACCTTCACAGATACCTCCATGACTTCTGCAGACTTTGAGACCTCCAAGACCTCCACAGAGACCTGACTACTGCACCTGCCTCCCATCTTGCCTCTAACACCACCTTCAAAGAGCACTGTTGGCATGCACCTGGTGTCTCTAAAAGAGCTGCCTGCTGTTGGTGTATGCCAACAGCTTTTAAAGAGCTGTAACACTGGTGGCTCTGGCACTGTTGCTCCCTGATGCATGCTATCCAGCATTGCTGGCCAGTGCTGACTGGCACTGCTGACCTGTGACAGGCACTACTGACCTGTATCTGGTCACCTCTCAGAGCTGTCTACCACTTTGGATCCTCCAGTACTACTTCCTGGTGCTGTTGCATCTGCTACTGTCTGGTCTGGCATCTGGTGTTATCCAGCCTGGCCTTGCTGCTGTAGTATCACCTCAGTAGCCCCACCTGTGACCACTTCCAGCTGAGTCAGATCCTGGTCCTTTGCTTACTGGTGTGCCATCAGTTTCAGGCTCTCATCAAAGGGACATTGCCATCTTGAGGGAACAGCCTTTGTTTTGGACTATTGGGCAATATCTGGGGTTGGACAGCCAGTAATTTGTGGCTTTATAAACTTCCTTCCTTCATCCCAACCTCCCCTTTGTTAAGATTGGGAGTTGTTGTTGCACCCTGAGCCTGAGTGGTATCTTGCAACTGTGAGCACATAGATGAGAACCCAGAAACTATGACTTTTTCCCCACCTTGGCACTGTTTTATAAAGACTCAAGATGAGGAATGAGACATTTCTCTATGGATTCAGGACTTTGAAGTTCCCCTGAATACTTTCTCCACTAAGTCATAATTATCTACTTCATGTGTGTCTTCAGGGTTGACTAGGAGTTCCCGAGGGCTCAGCATGGAATTTATTCTTTTCTGTTCTCTAGTGTTCAGCATAAACTCTGGTACAGCAGTGCTCAATAGAACAGTTGTATTTCTTGAAGAAATAGAAGAGCATAAAGGTAGTGTGACACACAGGACACTAGTCCCTGAATATTAACTGGCTGGTTTAATCTGAAGACCCTGCCCTATTCAGAGGCTCATGTGCCTAATAGACATGACTAAGGATCAATTTACAATAGGACCAAATATTAGACTCTGGGGTAGGTGTGGGGCCTTTGAAGACCTAGATAAATTGTACAGTATGCTTCACAGGAAGAAGAATAAACTGTTTTTTTTTGGTTTTTTTTTTTATAAGGGCATGTTTTATTTATTTGTTTGTTTGTTTGTTTTGTTTATACATGCACTGGGTACAGTCAGAAGCGCGGGAGGGTGAGAGAATTCACCAGAGCCAGAGCGGGGAGCAGAACAGGCAGAAGGACCGAAGTACACTGCTGAGGGGAGCAGCGGGTGGCAGGAGAGGTCTGCACGCCATGTGGGACCCTCCTCCGGTGGCCGGGGAGCAGCCGGGGATCGAACAGGCACCACAGAGGCTGCGGGCAACTTCGCAACCCAGCGCTCAACCGCTGCACCACTGGGGAGGCCCAAGAATAAACTGTTTTAATAGCTGGATCAGATTCTGAGATTAGTTTGCAGGAAAGAAGATGTTGGAGTTTGAAAATATTCTGGTTTACTTGCTAAAAGAGGTTCATTGTAGGAATATTGCTTTTCAGGGGAATTTTTAAAAGAAGCTTGAAGCTGCTAACCAAATCAAGATCCTATTGAAGAGATGTATTCTCTCAAAGGGTGAAGCTGGTGGTCAGTGGCCACCATTGAACTTAGCTGCTGCTCTTGACTTTCACAATTATAACAAAAGTCTCTTGGTGGGCCCACAATGTGCAGCTCAATAAATGCAATGATAAAATCCAGTTCCCCAGAGCCAGAGGACTGAGGGAACTCCAAGGGAACTCTATAACCTTATTAGGAAGAGGATGAAAAGAAAGAAGACCTCCTAAACTAAAAATGTACTTTGCTGTTTCCATGAAAATGGATCTATTTGTGTCTAAGAAGCTCTTCTGAGGAATGCATAGTCATCACTCGGAAAGTGACTTGGCTTATAGCCTATGGAAACTGCTCCATTATGAGAGGACCTGAAAAGTTATTCCAAGGCAGTTACAAAAGAAAATGAAAATGAACAGCTTGCAGGTAAACCGTTGTTCTTGACTTGGGTATAATGGTCATATTTGACAAGATTTTGGATGAAGGAAACCCATATGACTGCTTAAAAAGAAATGATGGTGAACCTGAAGCATTTCATACCTTCCAAAGCAAGCCATACTTCCTTTGTGCAACCTGCTGAAAATCTAGTATCTTAGCCATGCAATGTCCCTGGATAACACTTCCCTTAGCATCAAAAGACACAAACACAAAGATGTAAAAATAAAGGAATTTATCAAATAACATGGGTATGTTAATTGTGGAAGATGGAAGACAGGTCAATCAACAACTAGGTTTCTGACTTTGCATGGATCTAAGTCTTTGTCTGTGTGAAATAATTCATTTCCACATTTGGAAATCTCTTACAACATAAAAGCATAGTTAAACTGTGGGTCAGAAAGAACAGTGATGTTGACTCTCCTTCAAAGAAATGTTTAATTTCTCAAGATTCTCCCCCTGAACATTTGAATACCAATTTGGCAATTAGAAATTATGTTTCAGGGTGTTCACTTTTAGTGCCTAAATTAAGGTAGGAAATTAGCAGAAGTGGGTTAGAATGTACTTATTCTAACCTTTGATGTAAGAGTTAAACCTCCTCTATGAATCCCTGTAGGTGGTCAGCCAACCTACAACTGGTCACTTCTAGGGAAGTGTGTATTCTTTCTTTTCAGAATAGTGAAATCCTACTGAAGGAAACAAGAGCCAGACAGATGTAATTCTAATCAATACATCTTCAATACTAACTCAGCCATCTTGGAAAATTACTTAACTCTGGGAGACCTGGTTTCCTCCTTTGAAATAAGTGGACAAGGGGAGAAGGTTCAGAGCCAGGTTGCCTGAGCAAAAATCCCAGTCCTACCACACACAGCTGTGAGACCCCAGCTGCTTACTCAGTCTTTGGTTCTCAGTCCTTTTACTGGAAAAATAGGGAGAGAAACGTAATGCACCAAAATAGTGTTGTTTTGAAGGCTAACTGCCTCCATATCCAACAATGTTGATTTGTAATCATCATGAGATGATGATGATGATAAGAGTGCTATAAGGATGAAATGATTTTTTATGTAGATACCATACCCAGTGCCTGGTACACAGAAGGTTATACTGTATCAATCATTAACTGCATACCTACTTTTCACATGCTATCTCCTTAAACCTCCTTCAGCCCTACAAGAGAGAGTGGAAAACTAAAATCCGGAGGGATAAGGTAAGTTGCTCTATCATATTCTAAGATTAGAATCTAGGAAAGCCTGACTTCAAATACCAATCTCTTATTACCACTCTACATTTTCAATTCAACAGTGTTTCCTTATATTGTCATGTTAACTGGAGCCACACTGACAGAGAACTTTCTCTTCTCCATTCTTTTCCACAGCCACTGAGATGGCAGGTTGTTCTGGTTGGCCTCTTCTATCACTTTGGGGGATTCTGACTCTGGGGCTCCCTGGTTGTGCATGTTGGTTCCCAATATCCACATAGGCTCGTCTCTAAAGCATGGGACTACCTCTGGCTAGGATAGGTCTCTGACTTTGTTGAGAGGAAGACTGAACTTTCTGCGTTGTAACAAGTCAAACAGTGGCAGAGTCATTTTTTATATTAAAAGTAAAACTGGACTCAATTCCTAAATTGGTTCTCACCGTTTTTCTTCTGGGATGCTCTCCAACAGCATTTGAAGGAAATCCTGGAATTGAATAAAAGCAAACCATTAAAGATGGCCCTCAATTAGCAACTCTGCCTAGAATCATGTCATAGATGAAGCCTTCTCAGTTGTTGACAGCTCACCTTGAGCTAGACTTAAGCTGACTTATTAGACTACATACTCAATTGATTAATTTATAGGGCTTCAATCAGTTAGAGAGATTTATTTTATAAAAACCACAAACACATTGAAAAATGTAATATTATTTTGTCCTCACCCAGTTTATTTTGTGTTGGCTGGCCATGGCAGAAAGCACTATCCCTATCTACTTAACCTTGTTCTCCTCTTCATGAGCTTTATCTAGCGATCCTGTTATATACAGAACAATCTCCACTGACAAGCCTGTAACTAACACGCAATTTTCTTGCACTGCTCTATGGAAAGATAAAGGCAAAAATCAAAAAAATTAATATCGCAATGGTAGAACAAAAATGTCACAATTCCAAAAATGGTTCACAGGCCCCTGCCTCCATCTTTCTAGTCTCTTCTAGAAAGTCCTCAATTGTATGACATTTACGATGTTTCAATCATAACATTTTTTTATAACACAAAGACATGACATGTACCCATTTTTCTTTACTGTGGAAATTTCAAACACATTCAAAAGTAGAAAAAAGAGTATAATTAACTTTCACATACCCATCAACCCACAGCCAATCTGCCCATCCAATCACTTACTGGCCTGTAGTATTATTTAGAAGTGAATTACAAATATTATATAATTTCACCAATCAATGTTTCAGCAAATATACATTTCAAAGATAAGGACTCTTTAAAAATGTGACCACAGTACCATTAAGACCTAATAAAAATTCATGTATGAATGTTCCAAATCACATTGATACTAAATTTGTACCTTGAGTATTATGACCAATTTTATCAAGCTATCTAATTTTGGAATCTTGATTTGGTTTCAACTTAGGCTTTCAGAAATCTGAATTTAACTGTATGTTGGGCATTTTTATTTGCTAAATGGATAAGTCTAGAGTTAATTATTTGTTAGCTGAAGGGTTGAAATGACATATTTTGGATAAATGCAGACCATGAAAAACTGAGTATAATTTTTCACTTTCTTGATATTGAACAAAATAAAAGTTATACTTGCAGGTTTTCTTTTAATAAATTGAAAATAATTTTTAAAAATGGGTCTTTAAAAAGGGCACATAGGTAAACCTATATACTACATTGCCAAATATGTATCCCTCCTGTCTGAAGTCCCCCCCTCCCTTCTACCTCCTCAACCAAGTCTGTAGATACAGGGATAGTGCAGGGTTCTGATGAGATCCACTTAACTTAGAGTGCGAAATGGAAGCTCAGCACAGACCTTTGTATTAAAAACAGATGGAATTACAAAGGAATAGAAATCTGCAAACAATTTGTATGACAAGGTGCTTTTTTTCCCTAAGCACAGTGATCACTGCACTAGTGAAGCCAGCTACCCTGTTCTATGTGTTTATGAGTATTTAGGTCCATTTCTTCCAGTAAAATCTCCCTATTAAGGCACTAATGAAGATTTATTGCTTGCAATCTCTGTTCTCCTTCCAAGATTTCACTTGTCTATTGTGCTTCATCTAAAATAAACAATAAAAAATACAACTAGTATTAAAAACATGCATCGTGCAGTCAAAATGAAAAGGCACAACACTAAATATAATAATGCCTCACATATGAAGTCCTTCTTAACACCTGCAGTGGATATATGGAGAAAAAAATAGCAATGTTTTAAAATTTTTAATAATTATTTTGTGAAAATTGTTGAATTAGAAATTCATTTATCACAATCTCATATCAATAAATTAACTTGGTAAATATTTTGTTGGCTTAATAACAGCATTCTTCCTTCTTGAAAGTCCAAGTAGTGTAATTATAATGTCTTACTAGTTTCACTTCATTATTTTCTTATAGCCCATATCAACTTATCCTTTATTTGTTCAGTAATTTATGCCCAATTATGTGTGTGTGTGTGTGTGTGCACGCGTGCACGCACGTGGTGGTGGTGGGGGGTCATTAACTCAATGGTAAGGGGGAGAATTTAAATTTGTGAGAAACAGGAAATTCAGAGTAACCTTAATTCTGTACTTTTGCATTTCCCAATTACGACTGGATATTTATAGGACTGCAAAACATAACATTTAGAATTTTGTGTGAAGCTAAGAAAAGTGCAGGAGGGTCCTAAGTAACACTGGTTCTTTTTAAAGAGGGAGAGATGTCCCACCTCCTAACAGGTAGCCATTCAAGACAGGAAAACAGGTCTAGGGGATCATACTGGCTCATGAAACCCAACACCTTGAGGCTTTCTATGACACAATGCCTGTGTTCCTATAAGTTAGATGAATGTTTATCTATAGTACTTAATATTTCTTTGTCCTGGGTTCTGCCAACCCAAGAAGACCTTTGGTTTCAGCCAGACAATCTCTGTGTTATCAGTTAATGGAATCAACCCAAGTGGACCTTCTTACTTCCTTCTTCTACTCCTTTCATAGACCTATTCTTTAATCTTTAATGAAATGCTAGTTTTCCTGTTTGTTTGTAAATTGGCATGTGTCCTTGAATTAGACTCATGTTAGAAGCTTTATGTCACTCTCCACAACATAAAAAGATTTCTTTTATGACTATTCCTTTCCTTACTTTTTCAATTCTTTCATCCATCTTCACTCTTCCCTTTAGAGTATTTGCAGTTTTGTGAAAGCAACTTATAAATTATATTAGAACAAGGAGGAACAAAGGCTAATTCTAGAATCATTGACAAAATTAATTAACAATAAATGCTAGGGGTTTGTCACTTCTATAGTATTCCCAAAAAAAAAAAAAAAGATTAAAACCAAAGACAAACCCTCACCCCTAAAACCCTGCCTGTTTTAAAAAAGGCTTGGGATGAAATTTTTTCTAGATCCTTAGAAATTGTTTTAAACCCATACTCCACTCAAAAAATATATCCTTTAAGAATATTTTTTTCATTCCCTACTTTCCTAATAATCTATTGAATATATGTTAATCAGGTCAGAACAAGCTAAATTAGTTAAATAGTTAAAAAAACAACAACAAAAACTACATTGATTGTGGCACATGGCTAAATTGGTAATTGTTTTGTAGTCCTGGTGGAAGTATTCAATAAAAAGCAGTTATATGTTGATTCTACTGGATACTCTGACTTTGTAATTACACAGACTTAGCAATTTCTGTCTCCTGTTTTATGAATAATTAACATGGTCATGGGGAATGGAAGATAGAGAGACAAAACAATGAAAATCTTAAAGTAAGGACAGGGCTAACAGAATAAGAGTTGAGGAGAAATAAAATGTTAAGGAAGAAGTGATTGTTAAGCTAAAGAGAACAGTTTTAGTGAGGGCTAGAAAAATGATAGTACAAAATGCTGAATAAGTAAGAAGGGAAGGGATTAAGAAGTAAGTAGAAAAAGAAGAAACTGATGGACTTCTGAGTAAAGAAATGGGATCATATCCTTTCTCATCAATAACTAACATGAGATAACAAAAAACCACCATCCATTAAAACACAAACACATACACACAGTAAAAACTTCACCAGCAGCATCTAAACAAGGAAAGAAGTACAGCCTCATGGCATAAACTTCAAAAAGAAACAACTAAGGAAAGAAACAGAAGATTCCAACACCAGCCTCCAACCCTCTCCCTGTACCACCCCCAACCTCATGCTTAGCAAAAGTGAGACTGGTGAATTGCCCAAACCCCGCAAATTCTCACAAATACCCACACAATTTGGAAGGAAATAGGAATATCTTTATAATTCCTCCTTTTTTTTTTTTTTTTTTTTTAACGGTAGTGGGACCAGAAATGTTTGCTGGAGAGAAATGAGCAATCCTGGGAAATAAACAACAGAGGATGACACACTTTGAAGAACTGTTCAGGTTCTAGAACTCTAAATTGAAAAGGAAGAACAATGGGGGAGTACCTGTAATAGGGAAAAGCTATATGCAAATTAAGTGAACAGACTCTTGGTTGGGGACTTTAACAAAATTTCAAAGAGTTAACAGAGCCAAATTTTTGCAACAAAGATGTAAACAGCTCCAGTGAGCTCTTCCCTTCTGCTCCCCACATGCATAGTATCCAAGCTTCAAACTGTAGCTCAGATGGTAAGAAAAATATGGCTAAGAACAGTTGAGAACCAAGAATAATGTTCTATGAGAAGAAATAAAAGGTCAGGATAGTGCTGCCCATGGTGAGGATGAGCAAGAAGAAAAGTATGGCAATTATGCAAATTAATACAATAAAACCCACAGAAAGAAAAAAGAAAAATAAATGCATAAAATCATGAAAAAAGCACAACCCAAGGAACAGAAGAAAATCCTCCATGAGTGCTTTACACTATAAAATAAAGTCAAGAGAACACAATAACATAAACTGAGTAAAATGAAAGCTCAAAGACAAGATGACAAAACAAATGACATGAAGAGAGGTTTCAAAGTGACAGAAGTGAATTCAGGACCAAAATTACATCCACATAGGAGTACTAATAAAATAAAAACAGTGAAAAAATTTATAGACATTAAAGAAAATGTTAATTATGTTATAAAAACATTAATGATGATTAACAACAATGTTACTTGAGATAAATACACATCATGAATAACAAAAAGAAAAAAGTAATTAGAAAATAACAAGGTTTGAGAGCAAAGATGATATAACATAATACCTGGTAACACTGAAGTACAGAATCTTCAAAGAAAAAAAATGCTTTCAAATACAGAATTAAGACAATGTTATTGAAATAAGGAAGAATGGAAGTGAAGACTGAAAATGCACTGTTTCCCAAGAAAAGACACTGATGCAGATCATGGACACCAAGTTATTTTCTAATTAAATTACTAAACTTCAAAGATAAGGAATTTTTCTGTCATTTCAGAAATATAAAGAAGAAAATGTAAGCTGACTTCAGAAATTTCTACAGCAAGATTTAATGCCAGAAAGCAATTGAGCAATGTCTACAAAGTTTTAAGGAAATGAAAATGTGATCCAAGAATATTATACCCAACCAGTTTATAATTTAAATATACAGCAACAGGCATACATTCTCAAGAATATAAGAACTCAGAAGCCACATAAGTAGTGAGTCTGTAACTTGAACATCAATTTGATAGTGAAATGCAGCCAACAAACATTTAAATCAAAACAAAGTATTCATGAATATAGAAGAATGGTAAGATGACTAGTAGTGAATACTGAAATTCTTTAAATACAGAAATAACACTATACATCTGTGAAAATGATGGTGATAGCACATGCCATAAATGATATAAGCCTTGCTGATGTAAAAACAATAAATAAGAAAAATTTAAAATTGGGGGAAAGTAGTAGATGTCTATAACTGCTGATTTCCTCATCTTTTACAATAGTGAATAAAGTGATGTTCTCTAAAAATAAAATAGCTAAAAAGAAAATATAACAATTTCAAACTCAAAGACTTTTAGTAATGTTTCTTAATCACAGAGAATCTTTTAAGAAATAATAGCTCTCTTAATTTTTTGAAGTTCAAGGCAGTCATTTTAGTATCTTTTTCATTAAATTCAAGTAAAACAAAACTTAGAACATTTTGTTAAAAAGCACATATAATTCTTTTTAAAACAATTATATCCAACTATATCTTTCTATTCATATATGTGTATAGATACACATTAAACACACACACATATGCAATACATACATATGCATATAGAACATATATAGAGAAATAAAAAGTGCAATTTCTGTAATGATGTTCACCTAATATTAATTATAGATTATTTTTGGATGGTAAGATATTGAATGCTATTTTACATTCTTTTTTTTTGTATTTTCCTTTATTGCTTGATTTTTAAAAATGAATATGTCAGTTGAAAAGTCAATAATATCCAAACCTACTATGGCACTAATATAAGGACAGAAATAGAGACCAGTGGAATAGAATTGAGAGTAAACTCTCAATTTATGCCTGAGAGTAAACTCTCAGGCATAAACTCTTACATTTATGGTCAATTCATTTTTTACAATATCCCAAGATAATTTAATGGAGGGAAAGAATAGCATTTTCAACAAATGGCCATGGGAAAACTGGATATCTACATGCAAAAGAATGAAGTTGGAGCATCTACCTCACACCATATACAAAAATTAACTCAAAATGGATCAGAAACCTAATTATAAGACCTAAAACCAATTACTTTTCAGTCTTCTGGCTAAGATCAAGTGTATTACCTTCTTATCAGTCTAATATCTGATATGCTCTTTAATCCATATATTAAATGGATTTTTGGAGAAGGGAGATGAATAGGAGCTTGCTCCATCCATTTCACACATAGACCTGGTATTACAATAACTGCAGGAATAGTGCGCCCCACCTTAGGGGAAAAAATAAGAAAAAAAAAATTCTTATAAGAAAACATAGGAGTCAATCTTTACAGCCTTAATGGAGTTAAGGTTTCCAAGCTACAACACCTTAAGTACAAGCAACCAAAGAGAAAAAAGATAAATCGAACTTTATCAAAATTGAAAAAGCTTTTGCTATAAAGGACACAATCAAGGAAGTGAAAAGACAACTCACAAAATGAGAGAAATCATATATGGAATATGGAAGTCATATATCTGAGGAAATTGAATACAGAATATATAAAGTACTCTTTATGACACAAAAATAAAAGAATCAAATAAGAAAATTGGTAAAGGATCTAAAAAGATATTTTTTGAAAAAAGATATACAAGTGGCTGATAAGCACATGAAAATATGCTGAGTTCTTAAAGCATTAAAATACATAGAATAAGACATAGGTGATATATTCCCTCACATTGGTCTATAGATGTCTTTGGGGACTCCAACAGCAAGGGAAACAAAAGAAAAAAAAATAAATAGAATAAGATTACATCAAACTAAGAAGCTTTTGCACAAAAAAATCATTAAAATAAAAAGAATTCCTCTGAATGGGAGAAAATATTTCCACATTATACATGCAACAGGAAGCTAATATCCAAAATCTGCAAAGGACTTATACAACCCAATGAAAAGAAAACAAATAATCCAATCAAAAATGTGCAGACAGACTAAATAGACACTTCCAGAAAGTACACATATAGATTGCCCACAGGCTCTTGAAAAAGTGTCCATCACTACTTATCATCAGGGAAATGTAAATCAAAACCATAATGAGGAAGAGAGCTACAAGATGTCAGCAAAGTGTAGACACTGGGCTCACCCTCTTATACTCACAGTGAGATTGGAACTGAACAGTCAATAACTCCTGAAGGAAAACAGACAGTTACAGCACATGCTAAGAAGAATGTCCAGAGCAAGAGGGCCCCAGAGAGCAGTGAAATTGACCAAGCAGGTATCCTAGGCAGGCAAGATGAGCCCCCATGGCTCACAGAGCCCCATAAGCATCAGAGAGGAACTGACAAGCAGCCCTTATGTGGTAGGCCCCAACAGACCCCAGCAAGCTCCAGGCTGGATCCTGAAGCAGCCCCAACAGTTAATAGGCACCTACAGAACTCAGTGAGACATGGGGTAGGTTCTGGAAGCAGACCCACTGTGATAGGCCCTGACAGATGCCAGTAGGCCCCAGGATGGGGGTTAGGAAGCATCTCCACAAATGGTAGGCAGTTGAAGACCGCAGTGATGATTAGGCAAGTCTTGGAAGCAAGCCCAACACAATAAGACCTCTTAAACTTCAACAGGGTTAACACTGAGGAAATTCATGCTACACTGAACAAAAGGTGGGTGGAGAGAGGAACCTGAGTGGTAGTCTGGAGTAGGGGACACAGGTGGCAGGGCTGTCGGTAAAGCAAGGGACCCTGTGGAGGAGAGAGCAGACTTTGTATGGAAGTACACTTCCATGAAGGAGTGGAAAACCTTGGAGGAGCTGGTGTACTCCACACTGACTGGGTCCCCAGTTAAGATCATAACACAGCAGGCATTCTGATATGCATTTCCATTTCCTACTACCTGGGACTGGTGATTACCTTGTGAGGTACACTGAGAGCACAGTAACTGCTGAGTCTCTCATTCCAAACCCCAGAGAGGAAGGATATCAGGGATAGCACAAAAATGAGCCAGCCCCAACTTAACTCATTCACACCAACATCTGGATCCTTCCAAGACCCTCACCACTCTGCAATTACAAAACAGATATGAGTACGCACAGAAATCAACAAAAAGAAAATGAAACAAAACCAAACCACAGTACTATTTCAACAGTAAAATAATTTAACCTACTACATTACTGCTAAAGATAGCAAAAACAAAAATAAAATAGGGAGCTCTCACGCAAAATGGAAATATGAGACCTCAAGAGAGCAAGACATTACAAGGTCAGAACAACTCTCCAGAATTCAAACACAAAAAGAAGGAAGATTATGTCTCATTATCTATCAGTTCTATATCAATACCCCACTTTGAGGTGGCCAGTTTTAGGGGGGTACATGTTAATTTGAGTTTAAAATTCTCTTTATTATCTGATATTGTCATCTGAAGCAGTTCATATTGAACCATGCAAATGAATCACCTTGTTCAAGTTTTGAAGACATTAATTTAATGCACACATTACTATACTATACTATACTATACTATACTATACTATACTATACTATACTATACTATACTATACTATACTATACTATACTATACTATACGTGGTCTCTATCCATCTATCTTTATAGAGAGGGAGAATCTGACAAATCATGACTTTGGGAAGCAAATAAGAATTGTTTTAATCTTTTTGCTGTTCACTCATGGTTTTACATTCCTGGTATATGATGAATGTTGCTATCAAAAGACTGCCCTCTATCCCCGGCTGCTCCCCACCCACCAGAGGAGGGTCCCACATGGCGTGCAGACCTCTCCTGCCACCCACTGCTCCCCTCAGCAGTGTACTTCGGTCCATCTGCCTGCTCTGCTCCCTGCTCTGGCTCTGGTGAATTCTCTCACCTTCCCGTGCTTCTGACTGTACCCAGTGCTTGTATAAATAAATAAATAAATAAATCTTTAAAAAAAAAAAAAAAAGACTGCCCTCTATACATTAAGGGTTGCTGGGCATTTGATGGCAGGAAGATTTTATTTTATTTTATTTTATTTTTTACTATCCATAATTGTTTTTTTTTTAAATAATAAATTTTATTTTTATATTCCCCATAAAATTGCAACCCCCCCCTTCTGATCCCAATCCCTCCCCTCCCACCCCCCACCCCCCAAAAGTGTCTCTGTTTCATATTTTTTTGTTGATTCTGATTTTCACTTTCTTATAGTTATTCATTTTCCTGGTCCCTTATTTAAGTTTTCTAGATTCCTGCTATGAGTGAGACCATCCGGTATTTTTCTTTTTCTTTTTGGCTTATTTCGCTGAGCATGATCCCTGATGGCAGGAAGATTTTAAATGCTAGACTAAAGTTGGCAAAAAATTTAGTCCTGTGAACCTGGTGACAAAGCAAAGGATAAGTTTGTGTCAATAAATAAGACTGGGATGGAATAGTGAGTGATATATCCTAATACTGAGTGACATATCCTAATTTATGAATAAGAATATTAACAAAAAAATTTCAATAAAAGATTACAGTCTTGTAATACCAATAGCATCCACTTATCTTTTATAAGGTATGAAGCAGCTACAGGCAATGTAAATTCTTTAGGTTCTCACATGGATGTGAGTTGGGCCAACAATTTCAGTTCATCTTAGTAAATTGAAGGATTTGACAACTTGGAATATATCAGTATGTACTACTTCAATGCCTTTTAATATTAAGGAAGGAAAGAAGGACCCAAGTTTCATTGCACTATGGAAGTATTCTTCCCACTTAATACAAATAAATAAATAAATATTTATTTATTTATTATAAAGATTTATTTATGCATATAAGAGGTGGGGTGCAGAGGATTCACCAGAGACAAAGTGGGGAACAGAACAGGCAGACTGACTGAAACACACTGCTGAGGGGAGCAGTGGGCGAGACAGGAGAGGTCTGCTTTGCCATGTGGGTTAGGCAGACTGGGGATCGCACTCATGCTGCAGAGAGTGCGGATTGCTTCACAGTGTGGTGCTTAACCACTTGTGCCACCAGAGAGGCCCCAATAAATATTTAAAAAGCAAAACAAAACAACACAATGGGATCCGGCCCATATTAAAAAGAAAAAAACCAGAAACAAGTGTTGGTGAGAGTGTGGAGAAAAAGGAAACATCATATCCTGCAGATAGAAATGTAAACTGATGTAGCCTTTTTGGAAAGGCTCTACAGAGGGATCTCAAAAAATTAAAAATACATCTACCTTATGATACAGCAATTCCAGTTCTAAGTATTTATCTCAAGAATATAAAAACATTAATTGGGAAGATATGTACCACTATGTCACTGCAGCACTATTTACAATACTTATGATATGGAAATGACCTAAGTGCCCACTGACAGATGACTGGATAAGAGGATGTGGTATAGATACACAATGGAATACTACTCAGGCATAAAAAAGATGAAATCCTGTCATTGTAACATCCCCTGAGGACATAATGCTAATTGAAGTAAATCAGAAAGAGAAAGACAAATAATGCATTATTTCACTCATGATGGAGTATAAAGGAACAAATCAAGGTCTTGGATTCTGACAACAGAACTGCGGATACCAGATGGGGAGTGGGAGGTGGGACAAATGTTGAAGAGGGTACAGTAAACTGTGGTGAAGGGTTATTGGAACTTTGGCAATGGCAGTGATGTAGTAACATACATTTGAAGAAGTGTGAACCAATACTCCCAAAACATATAGTGTTATATACCAATGTTACCTTAAGAAAATAAAAAGTAGATAAAATGTTCAACATCATCAGCTATGTAAGAAATGGAAGTAAGAACTGCAATGAGATACCACTTCACACCCACTAGGATGGCTATAATAAAAAATACAGAAAAAAAGCTTTGGTGAGGATGTGGAGAACTGGAGCCCTGAGCACTGCTGGTGAGAATGGAAAATTATAAAACCACTGTGGAAAATGGCATGACAGTTTTTTTTTATATTTTATTTTATTTTATATAATTCTTTTTTTTTAAAGATATATTTATTTTTATATAAGAACCGGGGTACAGGCCATATGTGTGGGAGGATGAGAGGATTCACCAGAGACATAGCAGGAACAGAACAGGCAGACTGAAGAAATACACTGCAGGCGAGACAGGAGAGGTCTGCTTCGCCAAGTGGGATTCTCGCCCACTGGCCGAGATCAAACCCGCACTGCAGAGGCTGCGGACAGCTCCACAGTGCAGTGCTCAACCACCTGCAGCACCAGGGAGGCCCTATTTCATATAATTCTTACATCATTTTTCATTTTTGCACAATGTAAGCATTTTCATTTTGGTTATATTCCCCATACAATTCCCACCCCCCCTCTTATTTTGGCCCTAATCCCCCCTCTTCTCCCCTGACCCCATTGTGTCTCTGGTTTATAGTTACTTGTTGATTTTGATTTTTTTCTTTATTATAATCAGTCTTTTTCCTGGTCCTTTATTTAGGTTTTCTAAATTCCTGCTATGAGTGAGACCATGCGGTATTTTTCTTTTTCTTTCTGGCTTATTTTGCTGAGCATGATCCCTTCCAGCTCCATCCATGTTGCTGCAAATTGCATGAGTTTATCTTTTTTGATTGCTGAGTAATATTCCATTGTGTATATGTACCACATCTTCTTTATCCAGTCCAAAGAGGAAATGCAAATGGCCAACAGGCATATGAAAAAATGTTCAACATCATTGTAATCAGGGAAATGCAAATCAAAACTACCATGAGATACCATCTTATACCAGTGAGAATGGCACATATTAAAATCCAGCAACAACAAATGTTGGTGAGGATGTGGAGAAAAAGGAACTCTCCTGCATTGCTGGTGGGAGTGCAAACTGGTCCAACCACTATGGAGACCTGTGTGGAGATTTCTTGACCTACTAAACCTAGAGCTTCCATATGATCCAGCAATTCCATTCCGAGGTATTTACCCAAAGGACACAGAAATATTAATTCAAAAGGCACCTGCACCCCTATGTTTATAGCAGCACTATTTACAATAGCTAAGCTATGGAAACAACCCAAATGCCCAAAAATAGACAGTTTTTTTTTTTTAATTCCATTTCTAGGTATGTACTCAGAAGAACTTAAGAGTAGACACTCAAACAGATATTGTGCTAATGTCTACAGCAGCATTATTCACAGGACCCCAAAAGTGGAAACAACTCAAATATCAATTGACAAATGACTAGATAAACAAAACATGGTGCATACATACAATAGAATATTCAGTTTTTAGAAGGAAGGAAATTCTGACACATGCTACAATGAAGACATGCCAAGCAAAATAAGCCAAACACAAAGGGACAATTATTGTATGAGTCCACTGATATGAGGTACACAGAGCAGTGAAACTCATATAGATAAAGTAGAATAGTGGGTATCAGGGGCTGGAGGGAGGCAAGAGTGGGGAGTTACTGTCTAATGAGTACAAATTTCAATTTGGGAAGACGAAAATATTCTAGAGAATGCTGGTGACAATGATTGCGAGCATGATTACAATGCGAGCATTTTAGATTAAAATGGCAGATTTTGTTAAGCATGTTTTATCACATGAAGATTAAAATATAGAAAGAGGAATGCAGTACTGATATCTGTTACATACAATATGACTGGCTGCATATTATAAGACCCCAATTATATGGAATGTTCAAAATAGGTAGATCCAGAGTAAACAAATTATGTTAGTGGTTGCCTAGGACTTGTGGGGGAGGGGAGGTGGAGGTGGGAAATGACTATTAATGGATATAGGGATTCTTTGGGGGAATGATAAAAATATTCTGAAATTAGTGATGATGGCTGCAAAGCCTTGTGAATATACTAAAACACTGACTCGCATTCTTTAAAAGGGTGAATTTTACGGTATGTGGGTTACATCTCAATAAAGCTTTATGATAAAACAATAATCTCATTCAAAAGAGATCAATAAAAGAAAAATTAAATGATTTGTTTGAGGGAGAACTCAGAGTTCCATGGAAGCTGAAATCATAACTTCAGAAGTCACAGTAAATGCAATGTACTGGTTTAACACTGCAGTCTCTTGACGTGAAGTTGTTAGTAGTAGAAATTTATCAGTCAACCAAGCATATAAGATTTTTGAGTTTCAGTTGCCTTTCCAAATACTTAGATTCCTAAGGAGAGCAGTAGCTGGGTTTGAATCCCAGAGCTACCCTCCCCACACACTCACGCTGTCCCTATCTCTACCACCCCTGACCTTAGGGCTCTCGTGCTTGGCCCCAGAAGCTGCTTGCGAGAGTACAGAGGCAGTGGGTGTCGGGCATTTTACTGTGGACTTACTATGGCTCAGGCTGTACAGAGAGATCAGCAGTGCTGGCCAGTGGTAGGGGTTCCCTTACCACTTTGCCCTAGGGCATGCTGCCCCACTGGGGCTACAGAGGCAAGGATACCCTATGCAGGAGCAAGCTCCAGTAAAGGAGAAAATGGCTAGCCCCATGGTTCTTGGTTCAAGGCTGCAGGGAAGAGCATGGGACCCCAGTGGGCCAGCTCCAGTGCTGCAGCTCCCTGGAGCCACGGGCAGAATAGAAGTTCATGGAGTCCCAGGCCAACACAGCAGCTTCCCAGTGGGGTCCATCCTGCAGTGTTGCCACAGGACCCTCCCCCACTTTACATTGTTACACCCAGCCCCTTGAAGGGCTACCAGGTGCAGGGAGCTTCTGGCCCCACTGAGGTTGGCTCTGGCTGTGGGTTCTCAGAGCCTAACAGCCCATGAGCCCTTCCTGAGGTCAGGGCAGGTTGGGACTGCGCAGGCACCAGTTTTCCTTTTTATATTGGTGCCTGGATCATAGAATAGACCAATCAGGTGTGAGCTAAATGAACCAATCATATTCAATAAGTTAATTAATTATTTGGATCAAAAATGAAGAATGAGCTGATTGTTCCTAAAAATAGTCTAATCGGTCACTTAAAATTGAAAATGGTCCAATCAGGCAGGTAGGGTGGAGGACCTTGAAACTGGATATAAGGCATTGCAGAAGTCAGTTTAAAGGCTCTGTTCCTGGTCTCTGAAGAAGAAAGAGAAATGAAGACAAAAGAAAGAAGAAGGACCGGCAGCTGACCTCCAAAGAAAGAAGCCAAAGCCTCCCCGGTGGCGCAGCGGTTGAGTGCTGGGTTGCAAAGCTGTCCACAGCCTCTGCAGCGCCGGTTTGATCCCCTTCTGCTCCCCAGCAACCGGAGGAGGGTCCCACATGGCGTGCAGACCTCTCCTGCCGGCCCGCTGCTCCCAGCAGCAGTGTACTTCGGTCCTTCTGCCTGCTCTGCTCCCTGCTCTGGCTCTGGTGAATTCTCTCACCCTCCCACACTTCTGACTGTACCCAGTGCTTGTATAAACAAACAAATAAATAAATAAATCTTTAAAAAAAAAAAAAAAAAGAAAGAAGTCAAAGACTGGGGGGCAACACCTGCCTCTGGTCCTGCCTCTAATATCTGAAAGGCACACCAAAGGCCTTGGGCCTGGTGTCTTAAAAAGCTGTTTGTTGTTGGTATAGGCCAACAACTCACAAAGAATTGTTAAATATTGGTATCTCTAGTAACTGGCACTACTGGCCAGTGGTGTCCAGCACTGTTGACTGACATCACTGTGTCCAGATCACTTTTGAGAGCTGTTAACATGGAGTATCTGACATTGTCTCCTGATGACTGGAATGGTAAGCCACACAATGGACTGGCACTCTGGGTCACCTGGGAGCTGTCCACCACTTTTGATCTTCTGGCATCATCTCCTGGTGCTATTGCCTCCTTTGCTGTCTGCTCACCATATGGTGCTATCCAACTGGACCTTCAGAACGTTGTTATGAGCTGCTGCAGTGCCATCTCAGTGACCCAATCTGTGAGCACCTCTAGCTGCCACTGTAAGTTGGATCCTGGCTCACTGCTTGCCAGTGTGCCATGATCTCCAGGTCCTTGTTGACAGGACAGTGCCGTCTTGAGTAAGCAATCTTTTTGTTCCAGACTTTTGGACACTGTGGACACTATCTGGGGTAAGATAGCCAGCCACTTGTAGCCTTAGAAACTCTGTTTTCCTTGATTGCTAAATAAACCCCATTGTCATTGTTTCCTGAACCTGAGTGGTCTTATAATTGTGCACGCATGCAGGTGAGAACTCAGGCAACGACCTGTCCTCTACCTGTTCTTTGACCTTCTATAGCACCCATATAGCTCTCTTTCAATCTAGTCTTGTTACTCTGATGATTTCCCTCCATGTTTTCACACTAAACATGCATATCCTCTACATCTAACATTGTGGATAATGTGACTTCAAAGTCGGATATGAACATAAATGTGGAATATCAAAAATACCTTTCAGTCATCTCCTACCAACCAGTTATAAACACTGTTATCACAGCCTTCCTTTATGTTTACTTTCTTGTTATGTGCAGCTCACTCACTCCCACTACAAGCTGATAATCTTTCTCTGAGAGTTTTGTGACCAGGTTGTCTGCACATTTCTTGTTATTATTAGTTTCTCATCTATACACATGGTGTACCTACTATGTGCCAGTCATATATTAAGTACTGGGGAGATAAAACATGGTCTGGCTTTGTTGAATGTATATATAGAATGGAGGAAACAGAAAAGAGACAAATTGGCCCATGAAAGACAATAACACTATGAATAATGAAGGGAATGAAAAGGGCAGGGGTAGAGAGTAACAGGGTGGATGCACATCTGTTTGGCAGGGATGACTCTGAGATTGTCATTCAAGTTAAGATGAAAGAATAAGAAGGAATTAACCTTGCAAAGATCATTCTGGAGAGAGGGAAGAGCAGGATTGCTTTGTTTTGTTTTTAAGGTCAGCTAAGGTGCAACTGTCTACATGACCGTGCAGGACAGTTTTGGGTTACAGTCTGTCCCCAAAGTACAGGGAGATCACCTATCCTGAAACAACACTTCCTTGCATTCATTTCATTAACTTTCTATTTTTCCTATTGCACTAAGTTGTAAATCTTTCCCCTGCTTTTAAATATCTACACAATTTAGTCCCCAAAGTCACACCCTTTTCAATTATATATCATGGACTCAAGAGGATCCATAAATTACCTGAGAAAGAATTAACTGCCCATGAAAAGCATGCACAAATTTTCTTAAAAATGAAAAATAGGTGTCATCTCCAATTCTTCTGGCAAGGAACCGGAGAAGGAAATAGCCCTAGAAAAAGAAGAAGGGAAAAAGGATGCCTGTCATGGCTTCATCTGAAAAATGTTCACAGAGTCAATTCTAATTTACCCACCAGCACATTATGCACGTCAAGAACATTCTGTATGAGCTGTCCCAGACTTACCTCTATATTCTTACAAGCAAATTTGGGTCTAGAAATTAAGAACTGACTATTTTGTTTTTAACTCATTTGGTAATGTTATTACCATCTTGTTTTCCCTTGGTTTCCATGAGAGCTGGATATCCATCAAGCAGCAAAAGGGGAGACAGGCTCACGTTTCTCTCTCTCAGCTAGTAGGAAAGGCCTTTACAACTTAAAATACTTCCTTATTACTCCTGTTTTTTAGCAGGTACCTGAAAGGTTTTTTTAAGGTTCTGCTGTTCAAAAGTGATATGAAGCAGGGAGAAGGTGGGTACAGGGCAGGGTATATAGTTTTACTGCCTTTGATTCATGCCTTCCAAATGGGGCCTTATTTGGGGTGCAGGAATGCTGTAACCATTGACAATCAGTTATCTGCCTAGTCAAATGTCATTTCTTTTTTTTTTTTTTGCATAAAATAGCTCTTTTTATTTTATTTTTTTCATTTTTGCACAATGCATGTATTTTCATTTTGGTTATATTCCCATACAATTGCACCCCTCCCCCTTATTTTGACCCTAATCCTTCCTCTCCCTGCCCGCCTCCCCTCTCTCCATAGTGTGTCTCTGGTTTATAGTTGCTTGTTGATTTTGATTTTTACTTTGTATTAATTAGTCTTTTTCCTAGTCCCTTATTTAGGTTTTCTAAATTCCTGCTATGAGTGAGACCATCCGGTATTTTTCTTTTTCTTTCTGACTTACTTCGCTGAGCATGATCCCTTCCAGCTCCATCCATATTGCGCAAACTGCATGTGTTTGTCTTTTTTGATTGCTGAGTAATATTCCATTGTGTATATGTACCACATCTTCTTGATCCAGTCATCTATTTTTGGGCATTTGAGTTGTTTCCATAGCTTAGCTAGTGTAAATAGTGCTGCTATAAACACAGGGGTGCAGGTGCCCTCAAATGTCATTTCAATGTGATTTTTTTGTTTTGCCTCAGTCATGTTACTAATCTTTATTGTTTACATGTTTAACCTAAAAAGTGCCCCCATATTTCCTGACTTCTGCCATGTAAATGTGCTTACCTTTAAATAATGAACCTGCATGAAGGCTTTCTCTGGATTGAGCCCATGTTTGATGACAGATGATCCTGAGTCACTCACATGCCCAGTTTTCTCTTTATTGGGTCTAAAATGATGTAGTAAAATTTTCTTTAAGTATAACACATTCTGAATTGATTAAACCACACTATTATTTCTTATTTTCAGAGTAGCTCAATAGTGCCTTAATTCTATTCAACAGTCCAGATATAATTAAAAACAGTTTACATTATAAATTCATATACTGAACAAGGAGAGATTTATATTTGGGTTGGCAACTTGAGGTTGGCCATTGGCAATATTTTACATCATCTTTTCCAAGGTTAAAGCTTGCCAGACCCTCAAGGAATTCAAGCTTTACTATGAATTATTTAAGAACCGATACGCTTTCATTTTGGTGGGAATGATGGACTACGAAATGCAATGGAAAATGTAGCTTTACTTGGACGAGTAAAAAACATATTTTTAAAAAAATATTCTGAAAGCTCCAATGTTACCCACGTCTGTTGGTTTGCATTTAGTAATTAAGGACCCCTTAAGAAATATTTGTACTCTGAAGATATTTTAGAATCACACATCAAAAAAACAAATACAAAACAAAACAAACAACCAAATATCATAGAAGTCCATGACTTTAGAACAATTGGTGACATTAGTAATCACATATTTCAACCTACTCATTTCAGAGAGAAGGGAAACTGAGGCACACTAGGATTAATGCATCCAAGATACCATGGCTTATTTTGATTTGTGGTAACAGTAGGACTGAAATCAGTATCTCTTTATTCTCTATCAGGGTGTTTTCTGTTATGCTTTATGATTTTCAATATTTAAAAAAATCCTTCCTTTAAAAAAATTTCCTTTTGGGCCTTCCCGGCGGTGTAGTGTGTTGAGCACAGCACTATGAAGCTGTCCGCAGCCTCTGCAGCACGGGTTCAATTCCTGGCTGGCCAGGAGGATGCCCACATGGCGCAGCAGACCTCTCCTGTCTCGCTGGCTGCTCCCCTCAGCAATGTTTTCTGTCCATCTTCCTGTTCTGCTCCCCGCTCTGTCTCTGGTGAATTCTCTTACCCTGCCGCGTCTCTGGCCTATACCACAGTTCTTGTATAAATAAATAAATCTTTAAAAAAATTTCCTTTCATTAAATATCATTATGTTATATACAGTGAAGCTTCAACAACTAGCTAAGATCACAATATGGGTTATATAGGGTAGATAGTAGTTTTCAGTTAACCTAAAACTAGTCAGTTATTGGATAAACTTAGAAGAGCACATGTTGGGGTGATAGGAAGGCCAAGACCAATAAGAGGGCTGACACATTCGAAAGGCTGTAAGTCTAACACGAAGGTGCCAGCATGGGCATGGTCTGGCGAGGGCTTTCTCATTGGTCACCTTCTCTCTATGTCTTCACATATAGGAGACAGAGAGCAAGCTGTCTTGTATCTCTTTTTATTAGGGCACTAACTCCCTCAGACTAGAGTTCCACACTGCCAGCCTCATCAAGCCTAATTACCCCCCCAAAAGCCATATTGCCAAATACCATCATCTTGAGGGTTAGAGCTTCAAAATATGAATGGGTCAAGGGGTACTCAGTTCATAATAATGAAACATCACTAAGCAATAAAAAGGAACTGCTGATAGCTGAAACAATCTGGATGAGTCTCAAAAACATGTGCTTTGTGAAGTAAGCCTTACACAAAAAGATAATTCATTTTATATGAAGTTCTAGAATGGGTGAAATTCCTATGGTAGAAATATGTCAGAACTGTGGTTGCCTGAGGTGGGGAGATGGAGACTAAACTGGGAAATAGTGTAACAGAACTTTCTGGAATGAGAATAACATTTTATATCCTGATAGGAGGTTGGGTTACACAAAATTGTAAATTTGTGAAAACCAAAGAATGGTATAATTAAGATTTGTGCATTGAATTATACGCAAATTTTACTGCAATAGAAAAAAGGAAACCCAAGCAAACATTGAACTCTGGTTGATGATATGTACGCTGAAATTTTAGGAGGTAAGGTGTACTGATATCTTCGATTTACTTTCAAATATGTCCAAAAGAGAAAAAAAGATGGATTGTATAAAGGGAATGCATATGATACATATGATAGTAAAATGTTATAGTAAAATGTTAACTGCAGCAATTAGGTGCTGGGCGTATATGAGTGCTTGCTGTACAATTCCCTCAAGTTTTCTGTATTTTTTTTAAGATTTATTTATTTATGCATACAAGAACTGGGGTATAGGCGAGAGGTGTGGGGGGTGAGAGGATTCACCAGAGACAGAATGGGGAACAGAACAGTCAGATTGACCAAAATACACTGCTGAGGGGAGCGGCAGGTGAGTCAGGAGAGGTCTGCTGCGCCATGTGGGTATCTCCCTGGCCAGGGATCGAACTCATGCTGCAGTGGCTGTGGAAAGCTTCATAGGTTGCGTCTCAACCCCTTGCGCCACCAGGGAGGCCCCAACTTCTCTGCACATTTTAAATTGTTTATAATAAAATGTTAGCTGGGGGTGGGGGAAAGAGAAAGGCAGGGAGCTATTTATAAAAGGCAGTGTGGTGTGGTATGAGGTACATGGCCTTTGGAATCTGAGAATACAGTGACGAAACTCCTTACTACCTCTTATATACTAGCAGGAAAGTTACTTCTCTAATCCTTAATTGCTCACCTGTAAAATGGAAACAATCCTGCCTAGCTTCTTAGGTACTATGAGGAATAATTGAAATAATACAGGTAAAATCTCTCGCAAGGGGCAGGGACACAGAAAATAATGAACTTAGTGAAATATTCTAAAATTGTTAACAATAAACATTGCTAAATTCAAGGTCGGTCATCTGATGTCAGAGCAATGGATTCAGGTGGTTCTTAATCTCTCCATTATCTCCACAGACATAATGTGTAGGGTGTGAGACTGAAAGGGGCATGCCTGATGACCCAGTTTGCCCCTTTTCAGTGTGTTCTAGCCATCAAGCAAATACCACTGATAAAATCTCTGCAGAATATTCGTACATTTTCCCAGCAGGCATGGAACCAGCAAATACCTAAAGGAAAGATGATGACTGGCCAAGAGAACTGCATAGTTTCAATTTTTCTCCTTGATCCCTGATTTACTCACATGACTATACTTGCAAGAATAATTAGTCCCTTTCATCTTCATTTAAGACTCCATTGAAAAGTCTCAGCTTTATTCCTGCAAAAGCCACACTGGCTTTGTTAGGGAAACCCTACCACCCACAGCCTGGGGGTGGGGGGTGTGTGTGCAAAGGAAGGAGAAAGACTTCTCAGAGTCAGTCTGAATTCAAACCAGTTTTCCCAGCCCCAGGAGACACAGTTGCTGTGAGTTTCTTATGCCCTTGAGCTCTAAACTGAGAAGCTAGAAGGGAAGGACACAGAAATCAAAAAAAAATGTCTGCTCTGGAGGCAAACTTCCTGGCTCAAGTTCCTAATGATACCTTTAGTTGGAGTTCCTTTCCCTTGCCTAAAATTGTCCTTCCTGAAAGCATCCCCCTTCTACTTTCTTCTTCCACCCTCCACCCTCTCCAAATGAAGACATGCTCAAGAAAATTCTTTCATGCTGACGGCATTCAAGGCAAATGTACAAGTTTCCAAGAGATTCCTTTTAAAGTAGATGTGGCGCTGGAGAGAACAGTACATAGACAAGCTTTGCAAACCATCACTAGAGTGTTGTTTTTTTTTTTTTTTTTTTTTTTTTTTTTTTTTTTTAATGAGGAAAAGACACTCCATGAAGGAGAAAGGGTGACTTCCATTTCTGTGCTACTCTGGTCCTCATAATGGCTCTTATCCCAGGTATGGGCAGAGAGAAGCACAGAGAGAATATGGGATGAACTACTACTACACGCAATTGAGTGAGTGAAAGATATCACATCCAAAATGATATATAAAAATGTACAATTCCATTTATTTGAAGTCAAAAAACAGGTACAACTGGCCCATAGGTTCAGAGATCCAAGTAACAGTCACCTCTGGGAGGGAGTATAGACAAGAGAAAAGAGGAAGGTTTCTGGGATGCTAGGAATGGTCTCTATATTCTGATGTGAGTGGTGCTTCATTAGGGTAAGTAGTAAAAATCTATTGAGCCACCTAAAAAAATGATGCACTTTAGTGTATGTATATAACAACTTAAAAGTTAAAAAAATAGGTGCACATAAATTAGTACATATTTTGTTAGAATTAAAGGGAACCAGTCTAGAAAAGGGCTTTTGACTAGGATCAACTAAGCCCCCCACACTTAAGAACCAATGAAAAAAAAATTTTAATAACATTGTGAGGTAGGAACAATTGTGGCAAATGCAATCAGCTCTGTCTATTCCCATTCTCACCCACTTCCTTCCTTGTCACCTATATAATTTAATCTAATTATTTAATTTATTATTAAATCTAATAATATAATTTAAAAAGTTAGTTGTCGCTTTCTAAGAGTCCTTGCAGTGGCGAATAGTCAGAAGATATTCCAGTTCAAGACGAAAGCAGATGTCTGCTATGGTTGGGGGTGGAGTTCTGGGAAGGCTTTTGCTTTCCTTACAAAAGGGGAAAATGCAACAGGTACTATTCCTCTTCCTCCCAAACATGGTAGAGGGAACTGCAGCAACCACCTTGTAGCCATGAGGAAACAAACCAATATGCTATGGAGAGCAAAACAGAATGAAGGAAGGTAAATCGTCTTTTATGGTAGCCTTCATCTATCTGCTGACCTGTCCAAGACTGCTTGCCATCCATCCATTTGTTTAAGTCAATATTGCTTTATACTGCTCTATTATTTGTAGCCAAAGTTTGATGGAGAGTTGAACAAATGCTAAAAATTAGCCTTTCCTTTTATCCCCCTATGCCAGATACTCTGTCGAACTTTTCGTACGCATCATGTCCTTCTACTCTCACAAGAAATTGATGGGGTGGGTACTATGGTTGTACCCATTTAAAAACAGAGGAAAGTAAAACTTGGAGAAGACAAAGCTAGTTAGTGGCAGCACTGAGGCTAGAACTAGGCCCACAAAACACACAGTCCTTGCAGCACTCTGGGGCCTCTCCCAAGATCGAGGCTCCCATATTGGTTGTACTAAATAT